TTAAAATTATATCCTTATCGTAATATGTTGTCAATAAATACACTGCAGCTGCATTAAAATAAAAAAATAAAAGTAATAGAAGATTATTGATTTTTTGATAAATGAAATGGCAATGCAATGAGTAAATTTAGGGGATTACACGCTTTATGCACGCTTGACCAAACAAGATATACCGGTATCTCACGAAGAGACACGTGCTGTATTGTAATGTATGTTACTCATGCCAACACTTTATAACCGGTACATGTATTTCATTGTAGATTTTTTTTTCTCTCTCTCTTTCTACTTTTTTTTTCTCTTTTGTTTTTGTTCTTTTGTTTTTGCTGCTATGTGTGTCTATTTATTTTTATATCTATATATTGTGTGTTCATTTTGACCTTGTAGGGAGAGGGCTAAAATAGGCTTTGCCTGCTGCCCAATCCCATTCACTTATGTGAATAAAATTTTGTATAAAAAAAAAAAAAGAGACACGTGCTCGAATGGTCAGTCCGGGTATCAACATGGAGGAAGACGGCATGGATTTTGCGCTTTCTCAAGCCCTAGATATTATTGAGGCCGAAGAATCCCTAAACGAATTGTCGCTGACCCAAACAGTTGAATTGTATGAAGTTGAACCTGCTGATTTTGGTGAGTTTTCTATGCTGCAAGAATTTGATGCGATAATCCCTGACGATATTCAAGAAAACAAACGTTTTGCATCGCCCGTCGAAGAGGAGGAAATAGACAATATTAAAAAGTCCCATGAAAGCAAAAACACTCGGAAAAACACAAACTGAAGTGTTAGTACATTTCAGGAATGGAGAAAAAACAGAATGCAAATTACTGGAGCGTTCATGCCTGAATTGACTCTAATAACTAATGAAACCGAAATGAATGACATAATGACAAGGTTTGTCCTTGAGGCGAGGCGTAAAGATGGTGCGCAGTACCCACCAAGATCTCTGTATCAGTTGTGCGTGGGCGTCCTAAGGTATCTTCGAGAAAATGGAAACAGTTTAAACTTTTTGGATGAAAAAAATCTCAATTTTCAAGGATTTCGACGAGCGCTGAGTGCGAAAATGTCTGAGCTTACTGCTCAGGGAGTTGGAGTCGTAAAACGACAAGCTGAACCCCTGTCGGAAAAAGATGAAAAAATTCTTTGGGAAAAAAACATTTTAGGGAATTCGTCTTCAAAATCATTACTTTATTCAGTCTTTTTTTACAATTGCAAGCTCTTTGGATTAAGAGGTGTCGACGAACACAGGAACCTGTCGATTGATCAGTTTGAGCTTCACGATGATGGAAATGAAAGACCGTACATCATTTTCAAAGGGCGCATCAGTAAAACTTACAAAGGTAAGATTATAATTTCTGCAAAAATATTTAACAAAAAGGTCCATCAGAATTATACATTTTTGTTAAGTGTGAATTAAGAGTTATGTGCATCGTTTATTTAAAAAAATGTTTCAAACAGGAATAGCACTAAGTGTCTTTTTTCTGGAAATGGGGGGGGGGGGATTCTTGAATGAATATGTTATACAATGTACTAGTATTTCGGCAGACCATATTAATGTTTACTTGATGATTATATTTCAGGTGGTCTATTTCGCCAAAAATCATCAAGCATATGTTCTGTGATGATGAGTTGTACAACGTATATATGGACTATATTTGTCTCATCCTTAGTCTTGACAGTGATCCGACCGCACCCTTCTACAGACGAGCATTAGACGGCAGGAAATTTAGCAAGCAGTGCATCGGCGTCAACAGACTCTCAACCATGAGAGAGAGGAGAGAGAGAGAATTATACCAATCACTCCGGGAAGCGTACATGTGCGACCGCGTTATAGAGAAACAAGAAATTATGGCCCGAACGGGCCATCGTTCGATAGAATCCGTTCGACAGTATAAAAGAGCATCAGATGAAATGGTAATGGAGGTATTCAACGTCTTAGAGCCGAAACGCATCAAGATAAAATCAGAGGAAGCAACTTCTACTATTTCTACATCTGCCTCCCTAGATCCGCCACCCTCCATGGATACAGACGCTCCAGGTCCAATTTTCACCCACTGTACCTTTAATTTCGGCGGATTTTAACTGTACTACGAACCAGGTGTATACTCATTAATGATTTCAGTGAAAATGAAAACCAAAGTTACTGGGAGACATTTTTTGTTACTTTGAGAGAAAAACTCTCTTTTTTGTATGTTGTTCTTTTTAAATAACCATTTTTAAAAAAAAAAACGGTTAATTTCAGAGAGAGAGAGAGAGAGAGAGAGAGAGAGAGGGAGAGAGAATTTACTTTTGTACTTGTTGTATGTGAATAAGTATCTCATTAAAGCATTTTTTTATTTTGGGAGAACAGATGTGTGTGCAATGGTGTGTGTGTGTTTATTTTTGTAATTTTGCTTTGAATTGTATTCGATAAATACAATAAACTTTGAATATTCATTTTAAAAATGTTAAGTTTACTAGACCGTAAGAAGGCGGAGTTAAAAATTAGTGGGATATATATTGATCACAGAAAAGTGTTGGTTTGCTCAAAATACACCATAGTTTCGAACAAAGAAAATGTGGTGTATAGATGTTCAGCTATGGTACAAGCCCTGAAAGCCGCTGTTCATGATATTGTATAGTCATATTTGAGACACTTTAGTTATTGTCTCCATGTGTAGTGTATCAACAATTCAACACATTATATTTATAAACAATACGGATTGAAGTCCTTCCTCAGCTCCAGGGAATCTCATCAAAATAAATGTATGATGTAGAAAAAGCAGACATTGAAAAACATTGACGTTGTCGGACGTCATAAAACTAAACGGCGACAGCGCCGGGTGGTGATATAATGTCGTTTTTATATATTATAATAATTTGGGAAATAATGAACATATCAAAAATAAAATTTTTAACATTTCTTAATTTTTTGTTGTTTTATGTTCCTTAAAAATTTTGTAAGCTCAGACTACATTGTACTAATTTTATAGCCTCAGTCCACGAACTTTTTGATAACCCCTCGTATTTTTACAGACTCAAAATTAAAATCCACAGCCATGTAAGACCATGAAAAACACATTATCTCAAGTTTTCTTTCTAACCGGTGTCACATTTTTTGTAAAAATATATGTCTCTCACATCTTATGACTAACACCTTATTATTAATAAAAAAAATGTTAGCTGTGGTACTTTTCTGACCAATTATTATATCCCATGCAAAATATTACGGGGGAGAGAATACAGGCACGTAGCAGCTGCTGGAGGCGCTCCCCACACCTTTTTTTCCCAAACATCTCTTACTTTTAAAAAATCGTCATTGCTTTTGAAGACCACAGATAGCTTCCTTCCTCTTTTTCTTAAAGTAAAGCCAAGCAAGGGTGAAGTCGTCTTGTATGAATAAAATTTGGTGCTGAAGGAAGTGGGACCTACACCCCCCTCCTCTAACTAAATAGGAGTTTCATTTTTATTTCTCTGGCTTGCCCCCCCCCCCCCTTCAAAACGATGGTACGTCACTATTATATTTAATACGTGTACTATTGACATATATGTATGTGAGCATATTCTTATTCTACTTTTTTATTTTAATAAGAGGAGTTGTTAAATAATATTACAAGGATAAATAAATCTAAATAATCTTATTAAATAGATGTTGTATCTGTATATTTAATACATTTTGTTGAACAATTAATTTCAGCTTTGAGGTCTCGTATTTAATTATTTGCCATTCTTTATTTGATAATTTGATGCCAATTGTTTGTCCTGTTCAAACCAGATATACAGGGAATATATTATTTTCCCCGCCATATTTATACAAACACTAAACAACACGAGATGTTTTATTTAGATCACTAGAGTTCAATCAGTGAGCATGCGCATATTTAACACTAGTGCGACACGGGTTGTCTTAATCGAATACACTCTAATTGTTTGCAGCTGGTTGCTCGTCACGCATGGACGACTCCGTGTATCTCGACGTCATCAGAAATTCACACCTTTTCCACCTATGTTTTGACTACATACTGCCTCTGTGGAAATGTGTTTGAAGAGAAATCCCAAGTCCCCTCGGCATCTTTGTAACGTTAATTGTTAAATGTTCAGCTTGGGTAATATCATTGATTAATCTACTTGATTCTGCATAATTGTTTTACTGTTTATTTATGCCGTCGAAATCTGGCAAAACTTCATCATTTTATTAAAAAAAAAGTAGCTAAATCATCATGACACATTGAATTCAATTTAACTTATTAAATATGGTAAAAATGCATTTAACAGGAAACTATCCAAGCTACGACATGCACGACTATTGAATCAGCCGTAATAATCATGCATTTGTAACATCATTAAGTTTGTTTTAATGCACAAATCCATTTAAATTTTGATTTGAAAATGAAAAATAATAATTAATGATAATGGTATAAAGATGAAGTTAAATGAAATTTTAAAAAAGCGCAGTTTTTCCCAGTACAGTGTATCACGGAAGTCAACTTTGTACCGTTACGTTTCAGAATTTATAGAACGCATTTGATATCCTGTTCTGGCAATGCAAGTTGCACGCGGAATACTGGATAGAAAACTGTTATTAGTAAAATGAAAAGATTTCGATGAAAAAAGGGAGCATTTCATAAATTATGTTTGTGATTCTGTAATTGTCTAATAAATATAGAGGGATAACTGAAACAAACGAACTAAAGTCTATTGTAGACATATGCGTAGTTACACGTCTGTTTTACTACGCAGTAAAATTAAGAGCGCCAAGTCTCAGCTCGGATATCTCGATACCTCGGATATCTCGACATTTCTTGATTGTTCCGTCGATGTCGAGATAACGAAGTTTACCTGAAGAATGTTACAATAATTTTTGGTAAGTGTTAATCGTCAAAAAAGCTCGATAATATTATTGGCGTTGTTCCTCAAATGTAATACTGAATTTAATATTCATAGCTACATATATGTGCGTGTACAATGTTTTTTTTTCTGTAGGCACAGAAAAATGTACATAATGGATTGGTAAAATTATACTCACTTCTGGAGGTGACGTAGAGATTTTCACCGACAGAGCTGAATTGTGACGTCAGAGCCTTCGTCTCAGAAGTTCTTGCCGAATTATGGCCATATATGCATTTGTTGGCGTAGTTTTGGGCAACTTGGGCTAATTCAATACTCCATTTCTTTAGGACAAGGTAATTTTTTGTTTTAATTTTACCAAAATGAATTAATAATTATAAGAAATTGAACATTTAAATTAGTAACATTGCGCTTACGTGTAAGGTTTAAGATCTATTTTTAGGTTATCAAATGGGGAAAACTCTATTATAATTCACTGATTTTTCAATAGAAAACCTAAATAAAGTTTTGTCCCCTTTCAAAATTTGAAATAAATAAGTATTAGAAATATCTTATTTCTTACCATCTTTCTCATATTTGACGCTGTAGGACTGACTTTAGATCTGGCATCGTTGTGAGCGTCTAAGAATTCTTGTTCATCTGAACTGCTCTGTCGCTTCTGTCGTGCAGTTCTTGCGATTCTAACATGACCTCTGGGATTGGATATCTTAAAAAGAAAATCAGTAATATCTTTAAAAAATCAAATCTTAATAGGTAAATCCATTCAGGTAGGAACCCTTTTTCTTTTAATTTGTCAGCAAGATGTTACAAGCATTTTTTGTTAGAGTGGACGCAAGTTTTCATAACTGACGCAAAGTAATTGAATACTAGTATATATTTAATTTTTTGGAATGATTTATATATTTAATTTATGGGAATGAGGAAGTATATTGTAGAATATCATTCTTTATTTCTTAAATGTATGATTGCTGTAAAGCGAAAGAGTTTTGTGAAGGCACTTTTCCTGCACATATTATCAATAACAGTGAAGTTATTTGTCCTGAACCTATTACAATTCCAGTGATGTGTACCATTTCGCATTACGTCATAATCTATTTCAACAGATGCGGCAGCGTGAGCAATCCAACTATCCATGCTACCGGTTTAATATCTGTATGCTTGGTCAGCCCATTTTTGTCAACATTGACACGGAAATTAATCTTTTGCATGGGCAACCAATTACGGAGACAAGTAAGGAAAAACTTCCCGTCATAAGTCTTGCGGTTTAATTTGGAGGCGTTTGTACGATTTTCGTTGAGCGCAACTTTCAACAAAAGTTGTGTCGTAATAATAAAACATTACAATTGACTGGAATTGAAAATATCAGCGGCATTTGCCATTTCTTTTTTAAACTTTAAAAATGTGCTTAAGGGGAAGAAGGACCTTTAGCTGAAAAAATACCTGTCATTCAATTTTTTTCATATTTTGTATATCCTTAATTTAGTATGTCCCACATACATTAAAGCAGATTTATCAATAGTAGACTTATTTCTGAGATATTGAGTTTTTGTCTGAGTGAAAATTTGATTCTCCATGTTTTTGGGCCCATTACTCGGTCCATAACGGAATTTTTTCAACATAAATAAAAATAATGTCAGCGAACATGTCTTTTAAAATATTTCAAAGTATGAATAGTGTTAAAAATTCGAAAAAGCAAGATTCTTTTGTCATACCGTATCTGGAGACGGAAAATTACGTACTTCTTAAGACAACTTAAACATTAAAAAAAATAATTTGCAAAAAATCCTATCATTCAATATTTGAAAATTTACGGTGAAATGCAAGTTCGTCATGGTATTGATTAACTGTAAAAATATCGATTTGTGAAGCTGAGCTCAATATTGCACGGGGCATAGTTAAACGAGGCATGATCAAGAGAAAAACGTGTCATGTTTACATTTCTCGAGTACGGGAAAACCCAACTATGACGTCACACATTTCTGAAATAAGGGAAATAAGACATACCCACAGAATATTTCCGTCAACAACCATGTAAAAATATTTTTTGCGTTCTGTAATTCACAAAATACCCCACCATGTACAGATCATGACCCGTTTTTATGATTTTATACTGCCCATTTTTACCCTGTATGATCTTACTGTACTAAGAGATCCACTATGACGTCAACGACGTGCTGGACGCGTAGTGTAGGGAAACAGAAGAGTGAATTAATATATTCCGTAATTTGCTAATATTTGCAAGAAATTTTAAATGTTTTCAAATATTTTTATATTAGATGTTGAACGCAAACAAACAGTCAAAAAATTATACAAGTACTGTGGTTTCAATCTCGTTTTGGACATATTTTATCAGAGATTATGACGTAATTAAACTGAGTCATGTGACCATACATCCTTCGTCCCCTTAAGTTCACAAAAGCAAGTTTGCTGTTTTTGTTAAAGCTACTTAAAACGAAGCGAGTCAATATGAGTGAAAAATTATCGATCGAGAGGGACGTTAAACAACATAGTCCACTTAACCTGACGAATACTGATACTCTTCACAATTAGCTAAGATAATGTATAAAGTAAATAAATTTATCCATATAAATGAACAAGAAAATTAATTTTGTCGAAATCAATAAGGTCAACATGTATTTTAAGTCAATGTATTTGCACTGAAGGTTCAAATGTTGATTAGCATTATTCAAAATTTACCTCAAGACTACGCAGATCCTCAGCAAGTTCGCCAAGCTCTCGTTTTTCATCCCATTGAACGGGAAGCTGGAATTTTCTTGCAAGCAGCATATCTGCCAAAAACCAAAATATCTTGCATTTTGATAACAATCCTCGGAAATCAAACGAGTGAATACATTTCTTCAAAAGTCTCGCGCTTTATATATACAGATGTTTATTGTCTGTCTTCGTTTTGAGGATGAAAAAATGACGTCAAAATCTTATTTTTAAAACGTTTCAGATATTATATACGAGAGTTTTTCGAAAGTTCGTGGATGATGTCAATCTTCGTTATATAACTCACTAGAAATTTTCAAAAAGCACAATATAATATGTAAAAATATTTGTTTTGTTGATGTGTGAAGTTTCATTCTATTCGATTGAACAGAAATCAATTCACTTCATTTTAAAATCAATATGCTTTATACGCGCGGAGCACACTTAACGACAATGTAACGTTTAAACAAAGCGTCAAGAATTTCTAAAAAAAAATACTATCGCTATACATTTGACACAGTATTATCCAATACCCACTAATTAAAAACCTTTTTCTAATACTTGACATTTATTTTTTTAATAGTTGTTCTCCATGTATAATTTCCTTTGTAAAGGTCTTTTTTTTAAATTACTTATCTCTACTTTCACAGGATAAGCAACTTTGAAGCGCATGTCTTTCCTTGACGTTCCAACTTTTTAAAGTTTTTGTTTAGATTTTTACAGTTGAACCGTTTCTTCACAGATTGTCCTCATACGATAAAGAGTCTGTCACTAAAATACTGCATGTACTATTTGACCACAAGGCAAAACTCGCTTGTAATATATTTTTTATTCCTCCAACTTTTTAAGAGTTTACTCAGGATTTTTCCTGAGTTGAACTCAAAATTGCATCATTATCTGCTGCTCTGTGAGGTTCTAAAACGTCATAGATTTTGTCACTTTCAATGGGGACTACCTATCTTCTCAAGTTGATTTCTTTTCAACAAAGCAAAATATTAAGCCATAACTTAGAATACGAATCAATGTAACAATTCTTAATCTGAATGTATAGGTTGTTTTTTTTTTTGCGCCATTTTACAGAGAAATGACTACAGGCATTATTTAGTGTATTGTTTTTAACTAACTAAAATTTGACCTGCTCCGCGACCCGATTTTTGCATTTTTTAAATCTTGATAAGTTTTGAGTAAATCATGAAATTTTAAAAAAGATAAAACAAATCATTTGAATTTATTGTTAAAATATATGTCTTCCAAATTTGGATAACAAATGACGTCAAATAAAAAAGATACGACAGAAGTCCACGAACTTTTCGAACAACCCTCGTATAAACTGTTTTCTTTTAGACTGATTAATTTATCATTTTATTTCAAAGTATTGGCAAATGTTTATAAAGGATAAGTATATATTTATGAACTCGTCGGGTCACATTGACAGATCAACGATAAAGTTAATAATTTTCTCTGATCCCTCATGTTGTCAAAACCGTGTCAAATATTCCTAGTTAACTCAATTTTCCTAAAATAGATTGCGATGTTAAGAAATTTGTTTGCCTAATAAACAAAAATCATCGACTAAACCAAATACATGCAGACTTCTTGTCAAATTCTGTTGATTTGTTTAAATTTTGATTTGCCTTGTTGTTCAGACTGCTTTGCATGATTGTTAAATGTAGTGCTGAAAAACTTGAAATTTCCGATTTAATATATATTACATATGTACTATTAACCTTCTAAGGAAGAAAAATGAATTTAGAGAACATGCAGCAAATGAAAATGATTCCGATTTCTATGTAAAACGTCCATTGTAAATAATTAAGAAAAGTGTTTAATCAGTTTAATTTACTTGTGACAAATTGCTTCAAAATAATAATAGAACAACCCTTGGTTAACTTCAGTCGACAACCCGGCTCTGCCCACCGGGGCCTATTGTATAATATCGTGACGCCTGTTAAGCTTACCAGAACTATTGAGGTAATTTTTTTAAAATGGATATATCATTGTTCAGTTGAATTATGAGTTGTTTTTTTTACGGACAGAAATATATGGATATAAGTATATATTTATTTAAGCATTGAATTCATATTTTGGAATGTCTTCGGTCCTATAACACACCTGGCCGTGCCGACAAATTGAATACCGCGCGTATATATTCACAATATAGTCTCACACTGGATCAAAAATATAGAAAACCTAAGGATGACAGTTTTTTTGGTAATGAATTTTTTTTGTAATAATGGCATTACAACAATTCTTATATAGTGTAGCTTGAATACAGAGGGCACCAGGGGATGGTGCATGCCTCTGCACAGTCAGTATGGCAAACCTATTGAGATAATATTTTTTTTGAAAAATGGATTTATTAATGGTTACTTGAATTATGAGTTGTTTTTTATTAGATAGCTCATTCTTAATTTTACCTGTTCTCCACCTTTCATTCTTTGCTACTATGGCAGTTACTACCAGAAAAACCTAAAATTAGGAGGAATCTATGACATTATTAATATACATGTGGTTCTTTATTGAAATAATGTTATTTGGTAGAATCTGGCGAGATGGGTGCATGAAGGCATTAAAGAACTTACCAGAAACAGGCGCAGAAATGACTTGAAGGACATGACTATGGGTTGAGGGTTGAGTGACGTGTTAATTTCGTTCTTTTATAATCAGTAAGCAAAAATATAATTGGTTGATTTATTGCACAGATGTATCAATCTGAAATCAGCCACGAAGTTTTTCTAAATCATACCCTTGTTATCATAATTTAATTTGCTGAATATGAAAAAATATAACTTTGAATAATAAGTAGAATAGTCTAATTAATTTCTAGATAGAATTAACATTTGAAGTAGGAAACAGCTTATCCGAACATTTATAACAATAAACAGCTAGGCCGTCGTTTAAAAAATGTTTGTTTGCCCTCTCCCAACTCGGAATACAAAAATTTGGTAGGTAGGTGGGGAATTTTTTCAGAAAATTTAAACATATTTGTTGACAATATTCAGGGAAAAAATATTAAAAAAAAAAAAAGGAATTCGTTGCGAGTAACGAGAGGTCTTCCGTCTGAATAACCATCCTTGTGTGATATCCGCGCATGTAAAAAGACATACATGTATATATATTTGCTCGTAGTAAAAACTCCTAGACTTTTAAAAATGCAAGGATTTGAAATATTTAATTAAAAAAAACTAAAATAGTCCAGAATACTCACAGAAAAAGCGCCAAACACATCATTTATACAGATGAAAACATAAATATCTCTAACAAAAACATACTTTAGTTAACTATAGTTTACTATTATACGAGTTAACTATTATTAACACTTTGTAAATATGAAAACGTTGATTAACCATAGTGAACACTTTGACACTTTGATTTACTATAGTGAACACTTCGACACTTTGATTTACTAAAGTGAAAACTATGACAACTTTGATTTACCATGATGATCACTATGGAAACCTTGATTTACTATGGTAAAGACATTGATTTACTTTAGTTATAACTTTGAAAACTTTGATTTACTATAGTGATAAAAATAACCCTATAGTGATCACTTTGAAAACTTTGATTTACTATAATGATAACTTTGACACTTTGATTTAACTATGGTACTTTTTTGTTAAGGATAATCTAAGATGTGAGACAGCGATATGTTGTGAACAGAAGACTTAATAGTTATTAGCTGTTTAGAGGACAATATGCCACTTAAGCTACCCCAAGAGCAGTATTCCCCGAGCATAAAGGCGAGTGAACATTGTAGTTCGAGGGTTGCTAATTAAAATCATATCAGTTGTTTGAAATTCTTGATATCTTTTTAGTCCAGTGTAGAAAAAAATAAATGTTTTATTTTCATTCGGAAGGTCTAGTGCAACAAAACTTAGGATTTTTAAAATAATGGGCTACAACCAAAGAGAGCTAGGGATAATTAAATCATATAAATCTGAATACAAGATCTAAATATCAGCATATTTATTAACAATCATCAAAACCAGTATAATATACATGTATAATATTTACATTACCAATAATTTTCCCCTATGATTCTTTACAAAACAAAATGCAGTTCATTTTCTCATGAACTACATTGTACATTACGTTTGTACCACGAATAAGGATGAATATCTCCATTGTTACTTCATAATACCGCTCTTGACGTCAAAAAATATAGTGCACACTGATTTGCTTTAAAAATGACAGTTGAATGGCGTAAATTTATGGCAAGTCATCAGAAAAATAATGTAAATATAAGAAATGAATTTAATTTTTGAAGATTCATGAGGTATATGAACAACAACGCTTCACGCCGACATATTTATTATGAAGCGCTAACGCGCTTCATGAAATATACCGGCGTGAAGCGTCGTAGTTCATAACCTCATGAATCTTCAAAAATTAAATTCATTTTTTAATAAACTATAAATTTTCTTGATTGTCCAACTCTGATTCGGTGTCCCTGCATTTGCATTTTGTTATTCTCAGTCAAAAAAAATCAACTGTATACACAAATATTTCATGTTGTGAACACATTTTCTCACCAAAATATGCACACAATGTGATTCCAGATGATAAAGTTTGAGAATTTTCTTCTTGATAGAATGACCTTTCTACCCCAAAAGACAACAAATCTATACGGTCACAAAATAGAAAGCTACATGTCTTTAAAATCAGAGATTTTTTTTTTCATTTTGTATAAGGTTTTGGGAAACAAAATAAACTTTTAACATTTGAACATAAAGGTGTTGTACCTCGAGTGTTGAAAAAAAAAACAAACTTCCGAAGACAGACTGAAACATATAGCATTTAAAGCTGTAATAGATGTTGGGGGATAATACTAAGCTCTTACAAGTGCTAATTTTAGAAGCTAGTACAAAGGGTTCGCTGAAATCTGACAAGATATTTTTCAGTGATGTTCGATATTAATCTGAGGGATGTAGAAGTGCGAATTGATAATGACAGCGATTCAGAGGTGATTTTAGGTGGAAAGAGGTCCAAAGGCTTTGGAACACGGTCAAATATGAGAAAACATTTGGAAACTCTCAAATCTAGTTTGTTTTAACTATTTCCAGACAAAATAAAACTTTT